ATATTTAAGAAAAATATGTTATGTTTATATATTAAATATATTTATATATAATATAAAATATAAGAATATACATATATAAATGTATATACATGTAAATATTTTCAAAATATATACTGTATGTATGTGTGTGTATTTATATATACGTAATAAATATACACAGTACACACACATATATTATGTAAACGAAAACATATTTTGGATGCAAAATATTTAATCATTTGACAGCACTAATATATATATATTACATTGATTACTTTGTATCGTAGCTGTGCTTCGGTTTCATTCATTGAATTAAATAAAATAAACATGTTTATTTGAAATCAAAATGAACATGAACTGAAAAAAAATTAACTATCTCATTTTAATTTAGTTTAACTTGTGACATAAATTTTGTGTTTTGCAACGTTTGCTGCTTCAGTATTTGTAGATTATTTTTCCACGTTTCTATGGTATACTGAAAAACAATGATAAGCATATCATAAGTTTTAAAGGCTTTTATTGGCAAAAAAATATGAGTCAGTATTTACAGTGTTGACCCTTGTTCTGCATAACCTCTGCAATTCGCTCTAGCATGCTGGATATTAACTTCTGGGCCAAATCCTGACTGGTGGCGATCCATTCTTGCCTTATTAGTTCTCAGAGTTGATCACAATCTGTGGGCTTCTGCTTGTCCACTCGCCTTGTGAGGACTGACCACAGGTTCTCTATGAGATAGAGATCCGGGGAGTTGCCTGGCCACGTATCCACAATTTGAATGTAATGATCTTCGAGCCACTTCTTTATCACTCTTGCTTTGTGACATGGTGCTCCATCATGCTGGAAAATGCACGGATCATCACCAAATTGCTCATGGATCGTTGGAAGAAGTCGCTCTTGCAGGATATCATTCTTTATTCCTGGCAGTGTTTTTGGGCAGAATTATGAGAGAGCCCACTCCCTTGGTTGAAAAGCAACCCCACACATGGATGGTCTCAGGATGCTTCACTGTTGGCACAACACAGGACTCATGGTAGCATTCACCTTTTTTTCTCCGAACACTCAATTCTCCAGATGTCCCAAACAGTCGGATGGGAGCTTCATCAGAGAAAATAACTTTGCACCAATCTTCTGCTGTCCAATCCTTGTACTTCCTGCAGAATTTCAGTCTGTCCTTGACGCTTTTCCTTGGAGAGAAGTGGCCTCTTTGCTGCCCTTCTTGATACCAGGCCGTTGTCCAAAAGTCTTAGCCTCACTGTCCTTGCAGATGCTCTCACACCAACCTACTGCCATTCCTGAGCAAGCTCTGCACTG